TTTTGCGCTCTCTCCTTTCTTTGTTAGTTCATGATAACTAACTGACTTTGGTGAGACCTGCGAATTCTTGTGAAGCTACGAAATGGCACAAGTCAGCCACTGCCCACCCAAGCCGCACTCCATTGTTTATTTTGGTTTTTCATTAATTATACTTGTCTTCATACCTTATTTTAGCTTGTTCAAGCTTCTCCTCTGAAAGTGTTTCCTATTCAAGCATCGATGGTCATGTTTCAATTTAAGGTAGCCATGCCGTTCCGTAAGCCAGCTGTGGTGATGACACCAAAGTCACTGCTTCGTCATCCGATGGCTCGTTCACCACTCGAAGATTTCAAGACTGGCACAACTTTCCAGCGCGTTATTCCTGACAACGCTGAACATGGAGCTGTGAAGCGACTGGTTTTCTGCACAGGTGAGTAGGTTCGGATGAATAGTTTAAGGATATTACTTCTAGGGATGCTTCAAAAATCTCCCAAAATGTAATATTTTCGTTGAGTAGAGTGGCGATAAAATCACTGGTCGACTAAAAGAATAGTATTATCGTTGGGCTAGTGGTGGGGAAGCGCTGCAGCGCATTCGCAACAGTAAAAATTGAAAATCGAAAAAAGTTTTTTCAAGTCAAGCGCTCCTCTTCCTGCGACAGTACTACCCTCTCATGGTTCCATCCCGACAATGTTGCACACAGTTAAGGAAGGAGAGGGAGTCCACTCGGAGCATGATCTATGTCTAGGGGGCCCCTTCACTGGTTCACTGGTCCACCACGCTAGGGACAGTATTGTTCGCTGACGATGGGGAGTTTCAGGGGGGGGGGGGTAGGTTCAGCGTCACCATGTTATTCGGTGGTCGATCGGTAGCTTCCAAAACTGAAGGAGAACAGGTTAGCGCGGCGTTCAACCCAACTTCACTTCCCTCCCCCTCTGGAGTGCCCCAGCGCCGGCTGGTAGCTACGTTGACTGGAACGTATCTCAGAGGAGCAATATCAGCAACTGATTAACTTTCAAAGACAAGCACCACCGCTTAAAATGCGCTCTTCAATGAACTGAGGTTCGAGAATGAAGCTGTAGAAGGCTGAGTGGGGCTTTTTCAGGAAAAGTGTACTACGATCTGGTAATGGCCAGAAAGCATGTCGGAAAAGAAGATTCCGTTGCGATATGCCGTATCGAACAAATTTCGCCGTTCCCGTATGATTTAGTTCAAGCTGAATGTCAGAAATATCCAGAAGCAGAGCTAATTTGGTCTCAAGAGGTTGGTTACAGTTTTTACGTTCATACCCTTTGACAAGCTACCTTGGCAGCTTACCCCAAAAACTTTGCAGCCAGCATCTGGGAACTGAAAAGGGTAGATGTTTTGTATGATAACTGTTTAAGGCCGCAGTACGCGTTCCGAATGTTATAGAATGCTGAGTTGTGGGCAAAAGTCGTGCCCCAGGCGGGAGTCGAACCCGCACCTCACGCTTTCCGGGCGAGTGCGCTATCCGTTACGCTACCAGGGGCGTTACGTTACGCTACGACTTTTACCCATAACTCAGCATTCTTGTGGGAAGCAAATCGTCGCCGATGCCCCAATAAAACCGTGTTGCTGGGAGATAGCAAAAGAGCCGTCTTGTGTCAACGGTTGTGCTAGTGCTGCCCCTCACGACTGTGATAGTGCTAGTGAAACTACCCGCAAGTTGCCAATTTTTGAATGAAATTCATCATGGTGATGTTTTCAGGAGCACAAGAACATGGGCGCCTGGGGCTATGTGCAGCCACGTATCAACAGCCTGATGCAGAGTGAAAATCGTTCAGTTCGCTACACTGGACGTCATCCATCTGCATCACCAGCTACGGGCAACAAGTTCACTCACCTTCAAGAACAAAAAGACATGATGAGCAGAACATTTGGCGTTCCAAACGCTCAATTAGAAGGTTTCAAAGCGTAAAAATCACATTCACCGATGATAAATTCTTCAGTAGGTCAAATCTAGTCTACTTAGCGCGTCTCTCCAAACTTGCCTATTTTCCTGTTTTCTCTGGAGAATCGCGAACGATCGCTGGTCAGTTCATTTCTCGTAATCTGATACGTTGGTATTTCATTCAAGTTGCCTATTTTGTTCTTCCTTAGGGACACGCGCCTCAGTGGGATTTACACTTACTTGTAAAGAAGTACTTATGAAGTCTAGAGCAGCTGTCCGTGGTAGAGGTCTAGTCAATCAGAGAAAAGAGTTGAAAGCCCAATGTTACCGATGTTGTAGTGTAAGTGTAATCACGCAGTGATAATGATTGCTCAATAATAATTAGGAATGTTCTGTTACGTGTGTGTTTTGGATACCTTGTGGCAGTTGGTTTCAATAAACACGAGGTTTCGCTGTATGAGTTATGCTATAACTTTCTTGGCGCTACCGTAGGCGCCAAACGACCACGCGAACACCTCAGGCTCAGCCTTGGAAGAGCGCAGACAACCAGAGTCGTCTGTCCCTGTCTCGAAGAGCACAATTTTCAGCTTCCTCGCTGAATTGATCACTAAGTGACATTACATCAGAACTGAAGGGAGTTCTGCTCCAGCATTCCCCTTCAACTACAATAGCTCCGTTTTTCAACAAAAATTTCGCGGAATTACCCTCCCAAGACTAGCACAGCCGTGGGTTTTATGAGGGAAGTGACAGGAGAATAGAACTGCTCCTGAGCTCAGCAGTGTTGCGGTGATACCATGTTGTTATAATACTCCCACGAACCCTTCATCCTTCCTTCATTCTACCCGCCTCTCAACAAATTTTCCAAGATGTGACCCTCAATCGGTAGGGGGAGCGGAGTTAGGCACTTCCGATTAACTACCAGTAATAGTCGTAGTCAAGTCAACAAATGTAGAGAATTTTTATTTTCCTTTGACCAGTACCACCCTTCACATTCACTGACCATTTCCCTTCAGGGATTCATCAACGTACAGAGTGCGCTAGCTGAGCGGCACGTCCTCTGTCTGGTCAGACATTGTGAAATCTGTGGCTGCAAGACACCGACTTGGTGTATAACTCCCATCAACTGAGCCTTTCCAAGATTTTTGGGCAATCTTCTTGTAGTTGTGTAGACCGCACGTACACTCGCAACCCCTGAGATGAAGTAGGCGTGGCTGCGGACCTCAACCAAACGTGACGGTGACTGCGCTTTTGGTAGATATGCTCGTTTTGAGGTTATTGTAGTCATGTTTTTCCCAACAACGAACAAGATGACAGTTGTCCTTAGTTGAAATATACCACGAGTGACTCATCCTGTGTTATGTCTAAATGCCACGCCTACTCCGTGTCAGGGATAAGGAGGATATGTACGTTGGCATAAGTGTCTGTGCGTACGAATCAAGACATATGGCTGAACCGTGAAAACCTCGACAATTTATTCGAAAAATAGTGCAGCGAATTCAGAATTTTATCACTTTATCGAAATTTTAGGCAGCCCTTCTCTTGCCGTGATCATAGATGGATAGAAAATTTCAAAACTAAAAGCATCAATGACACAAATGTGAGCGAAATAGGTCTTGCATGACTCCACAGCGAGGCTGCACGTCTGCACACTATCAACATGAAAGCGTTCATCCAGGGTTTTTCCCGCATAATCGCAATGAATGGGGACGGTTTTGAGAAAAATGGTTCAAGCCCAACTGGGCGGTTCCACCTCTGGTTGGTTTCTTCATTAATCGATCGCTAGCCGATCACCATTTAGAGGGGTACCGGAGGCAAACTCATTCCACCCCTCCTGACATCACCCTGACTGATTGCAACATCATTATCCTTTAATACCTTGACCATCTGTTGGAGCAAAGACGAGTGGATAATAAGGTCCACTCGGTGTACCGCTGTCCCCCCCCCCCTCCCACCTTCCACCTCCCATAGCTTTGCGCTTGCTGACAAAGAAATCCAGTAGGTAGGTCATTTAATTCAACGGTGGAAAGGCCCTTTTCTATGTTGATCAACATAGCTTGGAAATGATTGCATAGATCTGTGTCTGCGTTCACTGTAACATGAATCGTTGCGAGCGAATTAGGAGCCCCATCCTGTAGCCATCTTTTGCCAAGAACTAGAGAAGACGAAGCACGCTCTACGTGATAAAAGTTTTCACTCAGTATAATCTCCGATTTGGTTTGGTGTAAGGATATCTCACGGCTACATGGTAGCAGTCGAGTTAGAACTAGAAAACAGGCTAGAGTCATATCGCCGGTAATAGCTCGGCATACAACGGACGTCGCTGAAAAGAATGAAACTCCGGGCAGGAGTAAACTTCATAATTAAATAGTACACCCAGCTCTGAGGAGAGTCATTGCCATGTGCGAAGTGAAAGGGTCTACAGCAGCACTAGCTTGCCTCTTTGCCCGCTCTGAAGGTTCAGGAGCGGGGCTATAGGGTAGTGGTGCGCCCTCGCATTACCGACTCCACACTACGCCAGAGCATCATCAAGGTGGTGCCCTGCTCGATACCAAGGTTTCCGGCAGGCGGAAACAACACGCCTTTCAGTGAGGCGACACGTGCAGAGAAAGCAGACCGAGAAAGCGAGATGGGCGCGGAGAAGTTGCGCGCTTGGACAATGGGGGCATCCGACTTCGCATTGCCGTTCGACGAAGCGCTTGTGGCACCTACCTGCCTGCTGCGGAACCCTGCTTCTCAAAGACACACGCGCAGAACCATTACCTACGAAAGTAATATTAGTAATGAGGATGGAACTTTGTCTCAAATGGAATACCCTACGAGAAACATTGAAATAAAACTCACTTTTTTCTGGGTCGAATACGTTTTCCGGAGTCACAGAAAGCGAAAGTAAAAATAACGGCACACATATGGAAAGATAGCGCTACTACTAACGGTGTCCCTGAATGTGAAGAAAAATTTCCCTTACAGGACACAGTGTACGCAGACGCGTCTTTACTTCAAGAAAGGTGATTCTTCTATTTTCTTTGGTGGTGTAAGCGCGGATTGTGCGCATCTCGCGCGGAAGTGTTCTTTGAGCAGACGAAACATGTTATTAAATTCCGTCTTATTTAGTCGCTGAAAGTTTCATCCTAGTCTAGTTCGTGTTGTAGACGTACCAGTTTGTCCATCAATATTTATCGGGTTGGCACATAAGTAATGGCGTTTTTTCAATTGAAAATTTTGTTCCAAAACTGAAGTGTTTTGCAAGCAAGCTTGATATCTGTGTCGTACATTCTGATAGCGAACACTTCTCTTAGTATGAGAATATCAGAACTAGCTTCCGGCTGCTGGCGCGACATGATGTTTCTAAATCTTTTAGTCGTTGAATGAAGTTGAAGTCGGCCGGCAAATTTAGAACCTTCGACGCTGCTTTATTTACGAGCTACTCGAAGTGCTAAATCGGCTCAAGCTGCCCACTACATTTGGAAAAGTGTGAGCTCGAAGTAGCCAAGGCGGACATGTTCAATAGGACGCTTATGGAACTAATTATTCAAACAATTTCAAAGTTGGCACAACTTCACCTCGCGATGTTGGGCGGGATCACGTTCATCGCTGCCGTTCTGTTTTCACTTGAATTTTTATGCATCAATAAATGAACGTTCGCGCAATATAGGTTGCCATGATCTGATAGGCAATTTTGTGCACTCTATAACACTTCAATGGAAATCTGTTCTCCAGAGCTGTTTACTTCCTGTTAATTTCAGGTTATCATTACGGAACGTGAGGTCGATGAGAATTAGCGTGTGCCCGGTTTCCAGAATTTTATGGCTAATGTTCCTAATGATTAGTTTTGTTAGCATCTGATGCGATTCGTGCTCTATAACAGTGCGGTGCAGCTATTTCAAAAATCCGTTTTGATTTCCTTGTTTTCCAGGTTTGAATCCTCTTCGAGTCGCGGCCACAGGATTTTTACCGAGAAGGCATTGAACAGCTGGCTGATGATGTGGTAGGAGGCTGTAAAAACAATGGGAATATATCATTGACTAGTTTATTGTGAATATCTATATTTTTATAGTGTTGTAAATACTGTGCTTGAAATTTACTAAGGAAAACAAAAAAATCGTGAGGTATGGGTCGACCGGATGTCTGCAGGGGTCAACATTGTCCGGTTCGTGCTTTTTCCAGACAATTGGTGAGCCGTCCTAATACTGTCTGTTAGCTCTATGTTGGTAAAAAAAAAAGGATAACAATACACTAAAAACTTATCTTCAGTGTAGCTTGACTCCCGGAGTGCGAACATTAGTCACTTTCACGCTACAATTACACAAATTACTTCTGCTACAGTTACCGTTACCATGCGCTTTCTCCGTCGTTGACTTAAGCATCAGTAGCACGAAGTGTCACAAGAGTGTCCTGCCTATTGGTCTGCCACGTTGGACTACTCACCTGTTTCGCTCTGCATTGATTGAGAAAAGAGAAGAAGAGTTGAAGGGTTAATATAGTTCGTGTGTTCCATTTCGCCTCACCAGACGAACCACCGTATATCATTGGTTCCCTCAAGGCTCTTCAGTGGAGGAGGGGGTCAACGATTACCATTATGTGGGTGAAGGTGGTAACACTGACTGAAAGGCTGTAGTCATCAAAAAAAAGTTTTTTGATAACTCTATATTGAAAATGATGAGAGAGAAGAAATGAAGAAACAAGCGTTGTTCGTGTTCATGCGCACTATGGTAGAATGAAAAAAACAAGCTGTACTATCTTCAAATAGATGGATTTTATTATAAGTCGCGATCCGCACTGTCACGCTGTGCGCTCTCCTCCTTCATCTTCAGCGCGCTTTGCCGAGCTGGCCAAGCGAGACAGAGCAAGGCTTACGATCCCGCACAACTCAGCACGCGCTTCTATTTACAGCGGCGTGTAGTCCGCGCCATGACGCCATTAGAATACATAAATCTGTAGATAGATACAATATGTAGTCGGCCAATACAGCGCAATATGAATGCTCAGTGAAATAGCAGATTTCGTTTCCATTACTTGCACCGGAATGC